CGACGGCGAATGACAACCTTAATGACAGGTTCCAGCTGTGTAACGAAATTGTCTTGCAGAAAGTTTTTTCCGAGCCAAATGTTGAAGCCGCACAGATAAAAAAATTTGTTTTACGCACCTGTTGGAACCCGAGAAAGTAAGTACAAACGAAAACTTTGTGCAACCCGACGGAGGGATCTGATGTGGCACACGCCTTGACAGCAAAGCGCTTCCGAGCAGTTGTAAAGACAGCGAATGACAACCTTAATGACAGGTTCCAGCTGTGTAACGAAAACGTCTTGTAGAAAGTTTTTGCCAGCCAAATGTTGAAGCCGCAGAGATCAAAAAATTTGTTTTACGCACCGGTAGGAACCCGAGAAAAGAAGTACAAACGAAAACTTTGTGCAACCCCACAGAGGGATCTGATGTGGCACACGCCTTGACAGCAAAGCGCTTTTGAGCAGTTGTAAAGACAGCGAATGACAACCTTAATGACAGGTTCCAGCTGTGAAAAGAAAACGTCTTGTAGAAAGTTTTTTTCCGAACCAAATGTTGAAGCCGCACAGATAAAAAAATTTGTTTTACGCACCGGTAGGAACCCGAGAAAAGAAGTACAAACGAAAACTTTGTGCAACCCCACGGAGGGATCTGATGTAGCACACGCCTTGACAGCAAAGCGCTTCCGAGCAGTTGTAAAGACAGCGAATGACAACCTTAATGACAGGTTCCAGCTGTGAAAAGAAAACGTCTTGTAGAAAGTTTTTTCCGAACCAAATGTTGAAGCCGCACAGATCAAAAAATTTGTTTTACGCACCGGTAGGAACCCGAGAAAAGAAGTACAAACGAAAAGTTTGTGCAAACCCACGGAGGGATCTGATGTGGCACACGCCTTGACAGCAAAGTTCTTCCGAGCAGTTGTAAAGACAGCGAATGACAACCTTAGTGACAGGTTCCAGCTGTGTAACTAAAACGTCTTGCAGAAAGTTTTTGCCAGCCACATGTTGAAGGCACACAGATCAAAAAATTTGTTTTACGCACCAATAGGAACCCGAGAAAAGAAGTACAAACGAAAAGTTTGTGCAACCCCACGGAGGGATCTGATGTGGCACACGCCTTGGCAGCAAAGTTCTTCCGAGCAGTTGTAAAGACAGCGAATGACAACCTTAATGACAGGTTCCAGCTGTGTAACTAAAACGTCTTGCAGAAAGTTTTTGCCAGCCAAATGTTGAAGCCGCACAGATAAAAAAATATGTTTTACGCACCGGTAGGAACCCGAGAAAAGAAGTACAAACGAAAAGTTTGTGCAACCCCACGGAGGGATCTGATGTGGCACACGCCTTGACAGCAAAGCGCTTCCGAGCAGTTGTAAAGACAGCGAATGACAACCTTAATGACAGGTTCCAGCTGTGAAACGAAAACGTCTTGCAGAAAGTTTTTTCCGAGCCAAATGTTTAAGCCGCACAGATCAAAAAATTTGTTTTACGCACCGGTAGGAACCCGAGAAAAGAAGTACAAACGAAAAGTTTGTGCAACCCCACGGAGGGATCTGATGTGGCACACGCCTTGACAGCAAAGCGCTTCCGAGCAGTTGTTAAGACGGCGAATGACAACCTTAATGACAGGTTCGAGCTGTGAAAAGAAAACGTCTTGTAGAAAGTTTTTTCCGAGCCAAATGTTGAAGCCGCACAGATCAAAAAATTTGTTTTACGCACCAGTAGGAATCCGAGAAAAGAAGTACAAACGAAAAGTTTGTGCAACCCCACGGAGGGATCTGATGTGGCACACGCCTTGACAGTATAGCGCTTCAGAGGAGTTGTAAAGACATCCGATGACAACTTTAATGAGAGGTTCCAGCTGTGAAACGAAAATGTCTTGCAGATAGTTTTTGGCAGCCAAATGGAACCTGCATAGATAAAAAAAATTGTTTTACGTACCGGTAGGAACCCGAGAAAAGAAGTTACAAACGAAAACTTTGTGCAACCCCACAGAGAGATCTTATGTGGCGCACGCCTTGACAGCAAAGCGCTTCCGAGCAGTTGTAAAGACATCCGATGATAACCTTTATGACAGGTTCCAGCTGTGAAACGAAGACGTCTTGCAGAAAGTTTTTCCAGCCAAATGTTTAAGCCGCACAGGTCAAAAAATTTGTTTTACGCACTGGTATTAACCCGAGAAAAGAAGTACAAACGAAAACTTTTTGCAACCCCACGGAGGGATCTGATGTGGCACACGCCTTGACAGCAAAGCGCTTCCGAGCAGTTGTAAAGACAGCGAAGGACAACCTTAATGACAGGTTCCAGCTGTGAAAAGAAAACGTCTTGCAGAAAGTTTTTGGCAGACAAATGTCGAATGCGCATAGATAAAAAAATTTGTTTTAAGCACCTGTAGGAACCCGAGAAAAGAAGTAGAAACGAAAACTTTGTGCAACCCCGCAGAGAGATCTAAAGCAGCGCACGCCTTGCCAGCAAAGTGCTTCCTAGCAGTTGTAAGGAAAGCCGACGACAACCATTATGACAGGTTCCATCTGTGAATCTGTCATAATGGTTGTCGAGCAACCCAACCCTGTGCCTAGCCGCTTGTGAGTGCTCGGGCTCATCCTTTTTTCCAGAGCACTTCATGGCGCCTAGTGGTGACACTTTACCTAATGTGTTCTGTAAACGCAGCCTGGCGTGCTGACTGCTAGGCATCGACGACGTCTGTCTGTCCCCAACCACGTGCCTGGACACCGGTGAGTACTCCGGCTCCAAAGCGCTTCTTGGCAGCTAGTGCTGATGCATACAAGGGGCGTTCAAACCGTATGGAACCTGAATTTGTTGTGCGGAAATCAATGAAGTATGGAAAGCGTTGTTCGCAGAAAATGTGAGGCCATGAGCAATGAGTACCGCAGGAGTAGTTGCTTCGCGCTGCCGATCTCGTGTTTCTACACAAGTTGTTTTGATCACACAAATTGTTATGTTCAAGATGAAATCCGTGCAGATTGAGAGGCTCGTGTTAGCTCTGGACCAGAGTGGACAGGTATAGTTTCAAAAGGTGGCTTCCGAGTCTGAAATTTGGAATTGAAGGCTAAATTTCTTCGCGGAATGTTAGGGCGGTTCGGCTAATCATGATCAACCTTGAATTTTGCTTTTCACCACCAAAGGATTAAATGAACCTGATAGGGAGTAGAGTCGGTTATATCTTTAAAAGTAAGATAAGGTCAACAAATGGAATATACTTCCATGATCGGCGGACTGTTTTTGTGGCTGGTAGCAGCCATTCCCCTGATTGGCAACATTGGCCAAGTTCTCCTCTTTTAAAGAGGCCTTTTTGTCGGCTTAATCTCATTAATCTCATCATATTCGAAATGTCTCGAGCAGACAATGGAGGAAATGGAAGCTTTTGAATTATCCCTGTTTATTAGCCGGATTCACTTCTTTCAGAGATTGGCGTCTGTAAGGCCGCTGACTTTTGGCCGACCCTGGGATGCAATTCTCAGCCCTCCTAAGCATGTTTCGCGGGACAAAAGCAGGGGAAGTTGGGGATGCCACTAATCGGCTCGGCGCCTCGGGTCCCCGAAACGCGGACCTTCTTAAAGGTGCCGGCTAAAAGGAGGTATACAATGTCGACGCTCGTCCGTCCAGCGATCGGGGAAATCCAGGGGGAACTTTGTGACCCTGCCATGACGAGGGAGAGGGCATTGTGCGTTAATTGTCGTCTACGGCGACGCCACTAATCGGACCGGCGCCTCGGGTTCCCGAAATGCGGACCTTTCTGAAGGGCCTGCTGAAAGGAGGTAGAGAGGGCCGACGACCGTCCAGTGTTCGGCTAAAGGCATCTGGAACCGGGTGGGTGACCTTGCCATGCCGAGGGAGAGGACATTGTGCGTTACTTGGGCGGAATTTGGGAAAGTGACATCGAAACACGATTGGTAAAATGACAAGGGAGAGGGCATTGTGCGTTTCTTGGGCGGAGTTGGGAAAGTTAAATCGAAACACGATTGGTGAAGTGACGGCGGAGAGGGGAGAGTGATTGTTTGAACCTGCCATGGTTTGTCTCATGAGGAGACAAAAATGGGAGACGAAGCAGAATGGGGAAAGCTCGACTGTAATTGGAGAGTGTCGAACGACGAAATTCCATGCTGTGCACGCACCATGCTGTAAACTATTTGTAATGACCTGTAAATACATTTCCTACTTCAACTTTGAACGTCGTCTCCTTGATCCTTCGGTCAGCATCGCCGAGCTACGTGGAAAGAAGCTGGCCTTCCTCCATAGTAGAGAAGCAACGATCTTTACTGCGTCCTTCAGGAATTTTTACAGCGGGATGCTGTCAATCGTACAAGCACGCACTGCATCCAAAAGCAAAGCACATTTCTAGTGCCTTCGATTGAGGAGGGCACTCGGCACAAAATTGCTCGCTCTTTTAATTCGGGAAGTTCCCAGCGCGACCAAAAAGAGCGATACCGAGACAATGAACGCCACTTCAGCGAGGCCGGCATTAGAGATGCCGAGATGTTGCTTACTTCAAACCACTTCTTTACTGTGCCGGGGTGGAGCTTAGCGCAAAATGTCAACCTCCTCTCCCTCCTTTTTGCCCCCTTTCACGTGCACAGTAAACCAAATTTGGCTAACTTGCTCACCGTATTCGAAACTCGAAAGCAGTTCATGGCTGTTAAAGTGCTGACACTTCATGTGTTCTTTAACTGCAGGCTGCCACGCTGATGCCCTGCCTTTGACATCTGGCCAGTTGCCGACCCCGTGCCTGGACACTGGTGAGTACTCCGGCTTATTCTGTACTCAAAAGCAGTCCATGGCTGCTAGAGCTGATGCCTAACCTTAGTAATAAGCTAATCAGTCAGATATCTGAGATCGTATCTGACTCCCTGCTCTTCTGTCTGCAACAAAAGTTTCTCAACTTAAACCAGATTGAAGACCTGCAAAGGAGACTAACTTCAGCTTAGAGGCAGTGGAACGAAACACCTCTCCACAGTGAAATCCTCACAGCTGGACTGCAGAACTACCCTGGTGACGAATCCAGTGCCTGAAAAAAACTACCATGAAAAGTACCGCATGGAGTACCGACACTCTCTAGAAAGCCCTTAAAGGGGCACTGACACCCCAAAGGTCGTATCTTTTTTTATTGTTTAAAACGATGCAAGTTGCAGTCATACCATCGCAAAAAAAAATTTTCCCGCGCATGCGCGCATGCCTTTTTATTTTTGGTGTTTGATTCTCCCGCCTCTCACCTCCTCGCTTCTTTTGATTCGTGACGTCAAGAATCATGGAATTTAGAAGCTTTGTAGGCAACATCTCTATAACATTTAATAACGGCAATCGTAAAACATGTTTTTTAACGCAATTGCAAACGCACTACGGCCCTTCTTTTTGAAATACCAAAAATCGGAGTCCGTGGTGGTGCCGTCTCTTGGATTTGTATCCTCCCACGGAAAACAGGTGACACCGCTCAAAACCGGTCCGCCGTCGCTTGCTCCTTTCCTCCTCGCTTTGGGTTGCCATGGCAACAGCAGGGAGTCGTGAAAGAAAGTGGACTCTCAGGACTCCGCAATATTTGACGTCAACGCACCGACGCGGATCGCGCGGGAACTTTGAATTCGGCATTTGGAAATTGTTTTTTGACTTCACAAATACTGAATTCCCAAATTTCGAATTTTGAGGATAATGTTCCCGCATTGTTTCCAATCGTTTCGGATAATAAAAAAAAAATATTTTGATGTGTCAGTGCCCCTTTAGAGGGATACTGAACCGATATCTGAAGTTTTCAATATAAGCCCCGGACGAGGTGCCCCGGACGTTACTATACCTAAAAATCAAGACCATACCAAGGGATCGGACTATTATATTTCTTTGATTGAAAAGCCGCGATGGGGCAATCCGTCGGCCGAAAGCCGCCGGTACGATTGACGCCACCGCGGAGGAGCCCGAGCGGAACTGACGTCACAGACCTCTCGCTCCTTGGCAGCCTGGCTTGTCCCGCTGCAGTCCTAATGGAGAACCGCGTCGAGTGATCGAGGGATCGAAGAAACTCGATCCATTCGAATCGAGTTTCTTCGATAGTTATGCCGCGGTACTGCGCTGCACGAGACTGCTCAAACAGCGTATGTTGCAGCGGCAGGCCTGCGCAAAAGTTTCCGAGTGAGCCCACATTGCGCAAGCTGTGGATTCGCGCGGCCCGTCCTTCCCAGCCAACATGGAAGCCCACCAAAGGCGATTGTCTTTGCATGGAACACTTCGAAGACGAGGACTGCAAGACGAGCCCAAAGTTACTGCAGAGTCTGGGCTTGCCTGTAAAACAGGCCTATTTAAAGCCTGGCATGGTGCCATCGCTCTTCACACGAAAATGCAAGCGAGAGCGGCACAGCGGTGCTGTGGAAAAATGGCGACGCAAAGAGGTGAGCGCAGCTACCGAAATATTTTTCTGCTTCTTTCCCAGTGGAAAGCACGAATGCGAGTGGTCGTGGAATTAGCGTAGTACATAGCGCAAAACTGCTAGCGCGAGCAAGCGAACGCTGATTTTTTTTGCTTTTGTTTTGCTGTCACGTAAAGTGGGAAGTGCTCATTTGCGGCACTCACCTGAGCTGTAAAGTATCGTGCCTACTAACTCGCCTTTGAGGTCGAATGCGGAAAAACGCCGAGATTGTGTTCTCGCTAACAGCGTCGCGCAGGGTAAGTGTGTACAACATTCGTGTTCGCTCTCGTGCCCTTGTCCGTACGTAAGGTGGCCGCCAATCGCAGGTACTCCACTGTCGGTACCGTGTACATGGCGAGACTGCAGCTATACTCTGTTCCACCTTATGATGTACCGCAGGAAAGGCTAAAATCGCGAGCTCCTTGCTTTAGGGCACATCTCGGCGGCGCAAGCTCTCGTGCAAGAGGGGCAGCTGCCTACGCTGTGAAATCGCGCTTCTAGCCTTCGTTGCGGTACAACATAAGGTGAAACGGAGTATAGTAGCTGCGGCGATGGCACTCGGTACGCGGGCTCATGTGGTAGAAACTTGCTTTGAAGCTACGAGCTTGCGCCGGCACCTTTGGCTCAATTGTGAAGGCTGGTATTTATCGGTATTACTACTGATAAATGCCAGCTAATTTTAATTTGAGAAATTTGGCATAAACAAATAAATATTGAATATTGGTTTGGGCTATCTGAAAATGGCACGTAGGACCGAGTTGAACCATTCCTGGGAGAATGTGGTTAATTGATGATCTACATACTTCCTTTTGGTTTGCAGCTGGTATGTTCCGAGCTTGAGCAGGATGTGCAAACTCCGCGGCATCTTGAGCATGTGCTATTCCTCATTGTGGCGAATAAGGAGGTGCTGCTGAATTTCGGAATAGGATACCCACAGTATGAGTGCCACGCCATTTAGAAAAGTGTGAGTGTATACATCATTCTGTTTTGGAAAACTCGTTTCCCTCACTGGTCCTCTCTTCCTGATGAGGTGGTCAAGCTGCCGTCGCTTCATCTGTTCAGTGTTAACCTGGAAGGCCGTTTCTCTCAATTGCGGAAAATAAATGAAAAAGAGTGCTGTAGTTTTTTTTAATGAGAACCTTGTTATGTACATATGCGTGTACTATAACCTAAACCTGCAATTAATGTTTCCGCCCCTCGTTTATATTTCTGATCACTATGACGATATCTTAGTTATATAGTCAAACCTCATTATATCGAACACGGATATATAGATTTATTGCTTATATCGAATCGTTGTCGAACTGTCATACGAATTACATGCATTTTAAATTTTTTATAACAGACTCAGTCGGTTAAAAAATTAATATATCGAACTCCGCAGCGCCGGAAAGCGTGCGCTCCGGAGACAGGCGGCAGGCTTTCCGGCACAACATCAAAGGATACGGCGGGCTTTCCCGCAACACATTGGAGGATAGCGGTTGCGCAGCAGGCGTTTGCGACTTTTACAAGCGCATGCCTGCGTAAAGTTTTATGCCTATGATGCCGGGAGCGCCATCCAGACTTAGCCACTCAGCGGCATACAGGCTCAGTCGCTCAGTCAGCTCAATCAGCTCAATCGTATTGCCAGCATGCTTCGCCAGTATCGCTATTTTTATGCGCTGTGCATAGATCCCGCAGTTTTGTTCCTCCGGGTTCATTCCTCCGAAGTTGCGTCAACCGCATATGGCGCACTGATGGCAACAGACGTAAAGAAACGTACGCCGCTGACGTTTGCGACGAAGCTTGAAATCATCTGCCACGTCGAAAACGGAGAAAAGAAGTCCAGCGTTGCCGAAGCGTACAACATACCGCGAAGAAATTTGAGCATGCTGCTGAAGACAAACAGTGACATCAAATCGAAGGCTGAACGAAGCAAGCACTCCGGCGTACACCGTGTTCGGACACCGGTTTTCGAAAAGGTGGAAAGATTACTTTACGAGTGGTTCATGGACACAAGGGCTCGGAACATTCCGATATCGGGGCCGATGCTTCAACAGAAAGCAAAAGACTTTGCGTTCATCCACCAAGCACAAAACTTGGCCGACTTGGGGTGAAACTGTGGCTGCTTTGATGCTTTTACGCCGCTACTGAAGCGCAATTCCAACGGTAGTGTTAAGGTGCTTGTGGACTTGGAGACCATGGAGCGGGTCATAGTAAGGCATGCGGTCTACTCCAAGAAGCAATCTACGCTGCGGCAGTTTTCTTCGCCGAAATAAATAGTTAATCTTAAAGCTTCACGTGAGTAGTCGTTCTTGCCGCAAGCTTGTTAGTGATTGAATCGCGATGCACTTTGACGCGTTTTTGGTGTGATTTTGTATATAGAATTTTGGTTATATTGAATTATTTGGCGGTTCTCGCACTGTTGGATATAACGAGGTTCGACTGTAGACCAACAGGCGGCCCTGATGTCACGCAGCTGCGGTGGCGCTGTTAATGGCACTGTGCAGGCGCAGACACTTGAATTGGGTTTCTGCGCAGTCCCTGGTGTGGGCGAATGCAGGCTTGTTGGGAAACAGTGTGTCGGTCTATAAGATCTTGTTTCCTCTATGTTCTTCCCATGCATTGAATACATGCTCGCAATAATGCTTCAAGACGACAAGTGCCGAGAAGGCCTAAAAACCTGGTGGTGTAGGAAATTAAATTGCAGCAAAAATTGATTCTTGTGCCAAAAATAGATGCTGCTAAATGTGTGCCAATTTATAACAAAAATAAACACTGTGACATCTTTTGCTGAGTTACTTTGTTTTAATCTCGTGGAATATGGTGTTTATTTATAAAGTTCACTGGGAGCACCAGCTGGCCATTTATGACAGTTGCACCCCAATCATGAGGCTATTATAAGTGCTTGTTCAATTTCTCGGCTCGAGGCCAGTAATTAACTTTGGTCGTCATTCGACCGTTCCATCTTAGTGTTCATGATTGTGCACTTGACGGTGCAATTTGCTTACCAGTTCAAGTAAAGTCCAGATGAGGAGGGTACACAGAGTGACATGAGCCTAACATAGATAAGGGCTCGGGCCAGTCACCCTCATTTGAGCCAAACCTGGGTGTTAGCAGCATATTGACAGTGCATGTTTGTTTTGCATGTTGTAAGTTTTTATGCCTATTATTTATAGATAATTGACGAATTAATGAAGGCACCGGCACAAGCAACGGCCACACTCATCGCTGAAGAGGTCAGCACATCGTCAACCCCTTCTGCTGACGACACAGAGCAAGGTCCCGACTCTGGACATGAACCAATGCACGATGCAAGTGCTGGCATCGAAAAACCTTTTTCGAGCTCAGGTATGTGCGCCGATGGAAACCACTCAGCTTACATATTTTAGTAGTTAATTCTGCCAAATTAGGGTAATCTATAGTCTACAGTGAAACTCGTTTAGAACGAACCCACATACAGCGAATTATTGTCGATATCAAACTCACGAAAAATTTAAATCAAAATGTATGTGAAAAGTACTTTTTGTAACGGACAACAGATTGACTATATTGAACTTTTTCCCCCTGGGAAGGCTTCCAAAAACGCGCAAACGATCGTCTTTCAGCCAATGCCTTCGCCCGAAAAAGTGAAGGAAAGAAAAAAAATTCCAAAAGCTCGAGCTGCAAACAAAAATAAGCGAAGAAAAGCGATTCCGAAGGG